ATCAGAATCCAATAGGAAACATTTATCAATCTAACATGTCTCACTTTTATTAAAGCTTTGTCAGAGATCTGGAGAAAAAGAAAAAATTCTGGTATTTTTACTTTTGTGTGGTTTGATTTTTATTGGTCAATCATGTATCACATGCATTCAACTATTTTAAACCGATGTTAGTATAATTTGAAATGCCACAAATTAAAAGTCAACTCTCATTCTACTGCCCATTAGTAAACAGTATTAACAGGAAAATGAAGGATAAGCATTCAGTGAGACTCTAGCTCACATTCTTTTTGCATGTTATATTATGTTAATAAAGTAGACTCTTGTGGACTATAGAGCCATACTAGGTGCTGTGGTGGTTCCCATAGCAAGTTGGTTTTACAGGATAGAGTTGCTAATCCTATGCACAACTGATTTTGAATTCAATCTTGTCCTTCTTATACTGGTTGCCAACCAAGGCCAAAGGTATCTGTGAAAAAAACAATGACCTTAGCTGGAATTTTAACTCAGCATGTCTATCAGACATTCAGCACTTATAACTGTTATGATAAGTGCACAACCTTTTAGCCCTTCTGATGGACATAAATTTTGTGAAACCAATTAAAAATAATGATAGGAGATTGATCAATAAAAAAGAAAATGTTTAAAAGCTTAGATTTAGACAAAGTAAATTTAGTCTGAGTAAATGGAATAAAAAGCAAGTAAAACAAATATAAAAGAAATGCTAAAAAGTAGACATAGTAAGTAAAGGCATTATAATAGGGAAACAAAGTAATTAACCAAAGTTTAAAAAATAATTTGTTGGAATGAACTACATGAATTTGGCCAATGAGCTTAAATTGATTTCAAAGTTAATTATCAGAACACCTACTCTGCAGGCTTTTACAGATCTATTTTGGCCTACAAAATTTTAACAGCCATAAAAACAGACAATATATATAATAGCATCAACCATTTTCTATTTATACTGCTTTTAATGGTTTGGTTTGTTTTGTGGCATATCAACCTCAATGGATTATTTAATGCTGACAATTTTTATTGCTGGTAATATTTTTTTTTTTTTTTTTTTTTAAATGTATTGCTGCTAATAATTTTTTTACAAAGTATTTCTGGTATTAAAACCTATTTTTACACTTTCATAGTGTTTTGACCCCAGTTTGGGGGTTAGCTATTTGCCCATAGATGGGACACTAACAGGTGCTACCACCCCGGGTCAGGGTGGACCTGGGAACACCAGCAATTAAGAGGTGGTTCCACACTCCTCAAAACCTGCTGATCAGAGGCCTTGCTGTTGGACATGGTTTATCGTCATACCCAGGATGCGGATGTAGTTTATTGTCATACCCAGGACGGACTACTTTTAATATATCTGCTCTTATTAATTTGTTTGTTTTCAACCCTTTAGATTTTATTTTTTTTTAGATTAAAAAAAAAAAAAATTCTTATAAAGAGATAATGATTTAATGATACAAGTCTTACTAATTAATCCATAGCCAGGGGAAGAAGAGGTAGATTCCTTAATACCTTTCCCAAGGGTATTTACACATAAGTGAAAATAACAAACCCTACTGGAATTGGCATTCAGCTCTCCAATTAGCAATTCTGAACCATTATCCATTACACCACCTGCATATCCAAGCATTTACCTATCTAGGTACTGACCAGGCTTGATGTTGCTTAACTTCAGTGATCATACAGGAACCAGTGTTTCAATGTGATGTAGCTGTAAGCGTGTCTGCTTTTAAAAGGGATGTTAAAAAAAAGTAAAGATTCAAACTGCTTATGGCCACATGTTGAAATACTGGTTCCTGTAGGATTACTGAACTTAAGCAATATTGAGCCTGCTCAGTACCTAGATGGGTGACTGTGTGGGAATAGTAGTTGCTGTAAGCATGGATGTGCAGGTGGTGTAATGGGCAGCAGCTCAGAATGAGAGTTCAAATTCTAATAGAGTTCATTATATTCACTTACATGCAAATAGACTTGGAAAAATTAAAAATCCACCTATTCCCCTTCCAACTATAACTATAGGTTAAATAGTAGGACTTGCATTTGTTAATACAACATTCACTCGGAAAAAAAAAATCATCTTAAAATCCACAAATGTTTTAGTTTTAAAATAACTTACATAAGGGTGATAAGCCATAAATAACATATAGACGAACCAAATCAAGTATGTTTCCAAGCGTTTTAAAATAACATTACACAGCTTAGCCTCCTGTTATATTCATTAAATACAATTTCACTCTATGTCTAATAAGGTAATCTATCAAATGTTTATCTCCACATTAATTTGTCAAGATTCACTGATGTGTTTTACACTCCTACTTATATTGCTTCTTTGGCTCTTGATGCAGACCCCCAGCCATGGCTATCAGCTTCAGTGGTTTGCCACAAGCTTGTTCTTGTCTTTGAGTGAAACAAGTCATCTCATCCATGCCAAGTTTATACAGATCTGTCTTCCAGGCAGCACTTCCCAACCATGTTAATGGGATAGGGTCAGGAGTAGTTAACTGACACCTCCTTCAATATGATGAACTGGACTATTTTGGGATGTGCCTACACAAAAATGTGTGCGTGATTCCCTCACTGCCACAATAAAAATCCATGGGAGAGCAAGTAAATACCTGCTGCTCAAACTCCTGAAACTTTTGTTTAATGAGATTTACAGAAACAACATAATTCATTAACCCTAAGGAGAATTATATATTTATTACTATACATGGATTAACAAATTATGGAAAATAAGACACATTGGAATAGTAAAAGATGCCTTCCAAAATCTAAGCAAAGTATTAAGAAACAGGAAAATTTCATTACAAACAAAGAAAAGAGTGCTGAACTGCTATGTAATATCAATGAATGCTGGACAATTTCTTCACAGATGGAAAAAAAAAAAAAAAAAAAAGTAACAGATGTGGTTCTACAGAAGGATGATGGGAATACAGTAAATGGAGCATGTAACCAATGAGACAGTTTTAAGTAAAATGGAAACAAAAAGGACTATTATATATACCATATTTTGCTACTTATAACTTATTTTTTTCCTATATCTCCACAACCAGCCTGCAGCCTATAAATCAAAAGTCTGTGACAGGAGTTAACTTCTCTTCTAATTATTACATACAAAATAGTTACAATAAATTTGGTTCTTCTCAGTCTGTGATGAATTTGTCATGGTTAGTCATGTTTTCATGCTTAAATATGCTATTCAGTGGTTAAAATTGGGGATAATGAGGAGGGCTATGGAGTACAAGAAAAATCTTTTTTTTCTAATTTCTTTCATCAAAATTTGAGGGCAGGGCATCTAATGCATCGGAGCATCTTAGAAGCAGTGAAATACAATAACCATTCCAAGGAATATTTGGATCCTGACTAGCCTTCAAATTACAGAATGTATTTTTATTTGAACCATTTGGATATTACTTTTTCTTTAAAGAAAAGCATACTTACCTACAGTGTCTGAAAAAAATAAAATTAAAAAAAAAATAAATGTATACACACTTCAGGAAAGGAAAGACTTGTATAAATATTGTAATATTAAATTTATTCAGACATGAAGAGATTAATACAAGTTTCCTTTAGACTCTACAATCACAAGAGATACTCAAAATGGTTGCCTTAAGCTTCCAGACATTTGTATGGTGGACTACTGCTTGGGCAATGTTGGCCAAAGTGTCCAGTCAGATTGCTGCACATGCATTTTCAATATCTTTTCTAAGGGCCACCAATGTAATGATGTCTGTTGAGAAAATATACTATAGTAAATAGCGCTATTGGAAGTTGACAAAACTAAGCCATTTTTTACCTTTCCTGAAATGTATGTACATTTTTTTGGCAGACTCTGTATAAGTAAAATATTGCTATTTTTAACTAGTTCGTAGACCTTAAAATATCCAAAGGAAAATCAGTTTACATGGCAATAAATTTTAAGCATAGTGTAAACATACAACAGGGCCCTCTCTAAGCCACAAAGTATTATAAAACCAGAAAGAGAATTCTGGGATACCTAATGAGAAAAGGAGGTTTAGAAAATTTGACACTCACAGGAAATATTGAAGGGAGAGAGAAAAAAAATCAAGTAAACTACTTTAATGAACTTGAGTAAATGGATAGCAGAACAAGGAGAGGAAGAGACAAATTTTGGTAAAAGCTACAAACAATAGGAAGTTGTAGAAAGCTGTGATCACTCATGTTCAGAAGAGATATAGTATATATATATATATATATATATATATATATAAAAATACACTGATTTACATGGACTCATGTCCTCATCTTGCTTGTTGTTTTTTTCATAGGTCTGTTATAATTGGTAACCTTGGAATTTCAAACAAAACCTTTTCATTTCATCTACAAGGGGAAGAGTTTTATTCTGCTGTCTATACTAGACGATATTCCATTTCTGTTAATTCAAACTGTCATGATGTTTATTTACCTCTTTTACTGAACCAATGTAATGGGCTCAGCATGAAATTTCAATAAAGGAACCAGTTATTACAGATACATGAGGAAAACCAAAGAGTAAAATAAGACTGTAACCAAGATGAGGATATTGGCCTAAGTAGAGACTAAGAGCCATAATTCATCATTGCAAGAATTAAAAAAAAATTATACAGTTAGTATAGTATTTAGTATTTCATATCCAAGATGAGTAACTGTCAATGTTCTTGTATTATTTTGAACTATTGTCCTCATTTTGGTTGATATAGATGTTGATATTATAGACAGTGTTTTGACCAAGTACCCTCTTGTCATCATCAGGTATCCAATGATTGGCTGAGATGGGATATCTTGTTTGTGATATTTTGTCCATGATGTCAGTTACTGTTCGTTTCAGTTGAATTGATGTGTAACTACCAGATCCAAGCATCGAACTAGATGTCAGTAACATGTATAACCAACGCCTATATCCACCACACCATGAACTCTACTGGAATTGGAACTCAGCTCACCAATTAACAATTCAGAGCCATTATCAAGTAAACCACTTGCATATCCAAGCTTGCAGCACCTGGTATTCCCAAGAGGTCACCCATCTAAGTATTGACCAAGCTTGACTTTGCTTAACTTCAGTGATCACATGAAAACCAGTATTCCAATGCTTGGATGTACAGGTGGTGTAATGGATAATGCCTCAGAATTGCTAATCAGAGAGTCAAGCCCCAATTCTCAGTGGGTTCATTTACTTACACGCAAATATCTTGGAAAAGTATGAATCCACCTCTTCTCCCCCAGCTAGGAGTTAATTAGTAAGATTTGTATCACTAAATCATTATCTAAAAAAAAAAAAAAAAAAAAACCATCTAAAACTATTTTCTGGCTTTAAACAACCTGCAAAAGGTTGATAAGCCATAGAAAATTAATCAATCAATCATGTTGTATGTGAAGATAGTCAAGTTTATACTTTTAGTACTGCACAGCATCAGAATAAACTAGAGAATTAACCAAGACAAGATCGAATAGCTACTTTTGTTCCCAGACTGCATGAATTTAAACACACTACTGGGTTGTCATCTCAGTCCCACCCTTTCACTGTCGATACAGCTTCCTCTCTCGGACATCCCGTCTGTGAAATCCCCTCTTACTTGCTTCCTTGATAATTATAATCTTCAAATATTCAAGTGTAACATCAATGGATATCTAATGCCTTGAACTTGTTCCCCATTCTTCTCTATATCCTTTCCTCAAACATGCCTCTTTACTATTATTCTCAACCCTCTGTAACCACTTGCATGCTAGTGGCACTCCCACCTTGCTTGGGGTGAAATGCTAAAAATATATATATCCTTAAACATGGACTGTAATAATGTTTTACTAAACAGAATGGACAAGGAACATTTTTTAAACCTTTTGTGTCAAATAAATTGTTTTATGTTGGCTACAAACTTATAAAGAAACTTATGTAATGAGATTAAAACAAATTTTATTGTTCTATTATTTGATTTAAAGAGCCTCTAGAATTTTTTTGCTATTGAATCGACACGTAAATGTTTAATCATTAACAGTTTATCAGGAAACGGTGAAAGTCAGGTGGACCTGACATGTCCTATATTGGTGCAACTGAAGTACTGGGAAAGTAAAGATACTATATCTTTAAAAATCATTTTATGAAAAGGCTATATGCCACTCACACCAATGCCTACTATGCACTTACATGCAAAGCTGGAGCATAAATAGGTGGACTATGCCTGGAAGTGAGGCAAGGCATTTTCAAATTATCTCTGCTGGAGAGATGATTAAATAAAAGGTCTGAATTACTTTCAAATTGTAGGCAAAAAAACAAGTACTTGCTTTGTACCTTCCTTTTGATTAAATGTTTAAGGACTCTTTCATATGTCTTATAAAATACACATCCAAGATGAATACTGTGCACTTAAAGATTGCCTAGCACTTTCATTTATTCTCATGCTTTTATTTTTACTGAGGTGTGTGTGTGTGTGTGTGTGGTAACCAGCCTGCTGAACTCAATATCCACTTTTATATTTATATATGCTCTATGCCTGATATTGAGCACTTTAAAATTATATTTTTATTATACATATTTTATTGTTTAAATGTTATTTTTGGTGGATACCCATATTTGAGTAGAAGCTCTGTTTATTTATTAAACAGTATAATTAATCATTTCTATCTGCTGGCCTGAATATTTGAAAAATCTCATTAAAAAATATGTGCTCTCTAACAGGATTTTGCAGTTGATTGGTTTGTTGCCTTCCAACTCCATCCTGGACCATTGGCAACCAAATTTATATATATATATATATATATATATATATATATATATAAAAGAGAGAGAGAGAGAGAGAGAGTATGGTAATGAAATTTTCAGTAATCAGTGTGGATAATTCCAAAGAGAATGTAATGCAGAGAGTTCAATGTAACACCAGAACAAATATTAATTAAATAATTAAAAAAGAGACAACCTTAAAGTTGGAAGGTGGTTATATATATATATATATATATATATATATATATATATATATATATATATATATATGTGTGTGTGTTTAACACTTTTCACAGAAGACATATTACACTCAGATTCTATAATCCTGCCTGAATTTCTGGGATGAGGAATTATTTACTCATGGACTATTGTCCCCACCCTTGTTATCACAATGTTTCAGCCATGGTGTCGTTCGGCCATCATCTGGACATTGTCAATTTCAAACTGAACTCTTTACTGCTGTAGCATAAATAAATGGTCTAGTTTAAAATTACCTGATAAATGCCATAGAGTACAGGATCTGAAAACTTATGATAGCAACAACAAAGATGAGGACAATAACCTGCATGTGAATAATGGAAATAGATAATCCTGTCAGGTTTGTTTGTTTTTTTTTTTGTTTTTTTATGTGTAACCTACTTGCATTGATTGAAATGGCATTTGACTCAGTAGAAAACTCAGCATCCCTTAACTCATTAAAATAACAGGGTATTAATGAAATTATTGACAATATATACATTAACAGCACAGCAATAATTCAACTACAGAATAATAATGGTGAAATTAAACATTTCTAAATAGAAAACATTCGATATTCATTGACTGAACAGTCAGCTGAAATTTATAATCTTTAAGTTTCTTAGTTCAGTTATTTCTCTTTCTAGTGTGACACTATTTAGCTATGGTAATTGGCTAACTAACCATAGAAATTAAAAATGGGAATTACTTAAGGTGAGAAAGAGCTATATCGAAAGATAGACTGAGCGACATTAAAAAGATTTTATTTTATTTACAAAAAAAAAAAAAAAAAGATACTTTTCGCAAAAGACAGAAAATCCGTAAGAAAAAAGCGAGATTGTGATTCTGTCAAAATTAATTAATGTCACGCCAAGAGAAACAGAATTCTGAAAGAAAAACAAAGCCAACCAACATATGCAACCATAAAAAAATTCTACCACAGAGAATAGATATTAATTATCTTCCAGAGATATCATTTAACTTTAATTCCTGCTTCCAGCAAAGAAAGCCATCTGGTATATGCACAAATCTTGGCATGAGAAGGAAAATCAAAAAGGGAATCATTATTATTGCTTATTCAAACTATTGATGTCAGACATAGCGTCTCGAAAATGAGCATCTGGTGATAAGAGAATTTTAAGGCATGAGAAAAATAAAGAATTTGATTCTCAGGTAAACACAACCACCCAGTTAAAAGTTGACTAGCGGAGAAACCAGGTGTCGGGTTTGACAGTGATTAATGAGTCAATAGAGGTCCGGGCTAAGTGGATTTTGAGTGTCCCCAAAATAAAGATGTGATAAGAATTAATTGGCAATCTGGGATTTGTAAATGTTTTGGCCGAAGGAAAAAGAAAAAAAGGATTTTGTAAACAAAATTCTGGAATAATTCTAAGAGGGCCAGTCTAGCCACACACACACTGCCAAGAGATCATTGGCCAAGTGGTAGCATGGGTGATAGGTGGAGGTGAATGTATGAGAAAGATGGAGAAGTTGTTAACACCCACTGAGGGGGATTGGTATGAGATACCAATGTGAGAGAAGAAGAGTCTAGGAGGATAACTCTCCTCCGACCTTCCCTCACAAACGAGGGAGGAACTCCCGAAGTGGAAAGTGATTAATCTTCCAAAAATGGGAAGTATTTAATTTTCCTGGCCTAAGAACAAAGAGAATTCTTGTTGGGAATTGAGAATTATCATGGAAACCCAAACCACGTCAGGCCTCCACACCGGGTTTTGGTCAGTATCCACATACACGAACTTCTTGAGGCAGACAGACCAGTTAGTTCCAGTCAGTTTGAGCTTAGAGTTAGTTCGAGAAGTTGGAGTGTTGCCTCGCAGAAGCTGACCGAAAGATTTCCACGTCCTTTTGACTTAGTCTTCCTACAAAAAGCAAGTTTTTATTGACGAATGATTTAAGATAGCTCGCTTAAGAAACGCAAAAAGTGTCACGAATCCATAGAAACGGGCTAGGAGAGAAACACACCTGTATTCAACAGACAGATAAAGACAATTGTTATTTCTCAACATATTTGAATCTCTTGAGTTTGTTTTATTATTATTTTTTACTTACACTTGTGCGGTATCACCTTTACCCCGGATTCAGCTTGCACTACTGTCTGACACCTGATTGATTTTGTCTACCTAAGATCAAAGTCACAACATGGGTAGGTTAGACTCGAGATCAAAGCAGTTACTTTGGTGACCAGACGTAGGAGGAGAGCTGGGAATATCGAACCAGGAACAACCAGGTCGACCGGGACACAGGCTGGTGGCAGTGACAAAGAGTCAACCTCAAAACGCTGGCAGAAGAAACCTTACAGCTTTGCGCCACAACTGAGAGTTGACCACAGGCTGATGGCGCAGTGTCACATATTGACGTCGTGACCAGTGGACGTCACATATTGGTGCAGCGACCACACCAGTGGGTGTCACATATTGGTGCTGCGATGAGACCACGACCACTGGTGGGTGTCACACTAGTATTGAAGGGAGTTTCCTACCTAACCTTTTGTTTAAGGTACTGTTGTGGTCTTGATCTCAGGGTAATAGAAGATTGAATGCCATTGTAGTCTTACAGCACTGGTCAAGCCATGGTGAGTGCTATATCAAGGGAAAAAAAAATTTTTCAAGTTGAAAAAAACCCCAAAAAACAAGATATTCATGAAGTTAATCTTCAATTGGTTTATATAGCTCTTGGTACAACAAAAATTAACCCTTCCCACATCAATCTCTCTAGTGACACTGGGTCTTGTCTAAACTTCTGGATGACTGGCTTTAAAGTCTTGGAATCAGGAATTCTGGTTGTCAGCTGGCATAGATTCCAGAAGCACTGAATGCTGCTTCTCAGCCAAAGTCTATCAGCTCCCTCAAATCATCTGCTTATAAGTATTTGGGCCCAAAACTGGTGTGGGGCCAAATGTGTTCTTGGGATTTGCTGATTCTTTAATTTTCACATTAATTCTAATAAGGGGTTTCTTTGACCCTATTTTCATTTTCTAGATCCACTTTCCAAATTTGGAAAATTATCCATCTTCCTTAGAAGTAGTCACAGGGATTGCTTTTCTCTTAACTCCAACATGCTTCACTTCACATCTCTCACCATTACTCTGAACAGGCTGGGCTAAATTCTGCCCCTTTCCATCTTCTTTCTCAGTATTCTAACTGCCCACTTCTCAGGGTACGTAACTGTCTGTAACAAATCTAATTTTTAAAATAGGTAGGAGAATGGGTGTAGTTTATTCTCCTTATGAATTTCAATTCTGACTTTTTCACATACTAGAACACTTTCTTGGCATGACATGATTGATTTTCATAATCTCAACCATAAGAAAAAGGATTCATTCCTTTTTTCATTTTCATCATTTGTTTGAGATTCTGTAGAGAGTCTATAAAATCTGATAGTCTTTTTAAGACTTACAAGGTTCATTGACTTGAGAAAATGGTTGTATATATCCAATAGTTTAGACATTTTTGAATGAATTGGACACTATAAAGGTCTAATGAATGCAGATAACAAAATTATCCCCCCCCCACCAAATTCCTTATTTTTTATGAGCAGACTAGTCATTTTAAATAGTGCCATGTTCAATGCCTTAAAAAAAAAAAAAAACATCATTTCTTGAACCAATTCCCATAAAAAAAATCACCAAAATTAAGCAATGTTGTGCCTGGTCAGTACTTAGACAGGTGACCGCTTGGGAATACCAAGTGCTGTAAGCTTGGATGTGCCATAAAAAAACATGAATTTTGATCGGACAAAGCTACAAGGATACAATTTCATCTATTTCAGTATGCATTGAAAGTATATTTTAGAAAATGAACTAGGAAGGAATAGGAATCAAATTAAGTGGAGAATATTTAAATTATCTATGATTTGATGAAGACATTTTACTAATATAAGAATCATGGGATGAAGTTAAAAAAAAAAAAAAAGGAGTGAATAAAGACCTGAAAGAAGTCATACATCTACTTTAGACATGATACTGTGACACTGGTAAAAGGAAAGGGTTAATTTAGAATATAAACTGGAATGACAAAAAGGGATTAAAAGTATGAATAATATATAAACTGAAAGGAAGAAAAACCAGACCTGAGAAGAATGACTATTGGTTTTGGGAAAAAGATATTATCAAAAGAGCTATCTGGAAGATTTAAGTCCATGAGAACTGAGGAGAAATAGTGAAAATACATTAAAAATCAGTTGAGAGTTTTGGAAATGAAGCAGAAATGGAGAAATTGATTATATCTGCTTACTAAAGTGGAAGTTGCAAAAACATGTCTCCTGATTGCCAGATGAAAGAACGGGTCAATTGAGATATAATATTTGGTAATTTTGAAGATAAAGGCAGAACCGAGAAACTAATTTATGCCTGTCAAAGAGTGGAAATGTAAACAAATCAAGAAATAGGTTTTGTTGAGATAAGAAATGAACCTGTAAGATTCATAAGTACGATTAAGCAAACAAGATATGAAGACAAATACTGCTATTAGTGGATCAAAAAAAAAAAAAAAAAAAAAAAAAAAACAAAGAGAAAGAAATAGATGGTAAATCTCTGATTGCATAAACAAGTCCAGGGGATGATAAAAATTTGTTGAAAATTAAAGATAATTACAATTATTGACTAAAAGTGGTTTAAAAATCCGATTTGTCAAAAAGACAACTGAGGTGATGGTCTTAGATGACATACTAAGAGAGATGGAGGACTTGCCTACACCAAAGTAATGGTGCAAGGAATAAATAAGAGATGGAATGAGTTGTACAAGTGAGCTGATACCTTAAACCACTACCCATAGGAAAAAGGGATCTCCCAAATTTGGAGAGATAATCAATATTACGAACCGGACAACAAAGAACTTCACCCTGGCCTGGGATAGTGGCACCTGTTAGGGTCCCAGCTGTGGGCAAATTGTGACCCCCCACCAATAGTAAAAATTTCTGGCAATAGATTCTAATAGTAAAAAAATTTATAATAAAGTGCAAGACTCAGCTAAACAAGAAACTCTAGAAGAGTGTCTGCTCATGCATGCACAGTAAGGTTCAGTCAGCTCACTGAATTCTTGAAATATTCTAAACCACTAGATACTTCCCAGACAGACATTATATTCCAATATTTCAACTACATAATTGCTAACATCTTTTCCAAATGCACTATGAAGTTTAAAGTTACCTTTTTTATAAAAAGTACATTTTTTCTGTTAACAGTTACTCTATTGTGAGGCAGAGAGTATAAATACTATTCACTTTGTTCATGAATTGGCTGAGTCTCATGTATCTTAAATCTTTACATAATTAGAACCCAGTTACATTTTCTTAATGTTGGCCATTACTTATAAGCAATCAGCTCGTTTATATATATATATATATATATATATACACACACACATATACACACACCCCAAACTAGGACATGTGAAATTTGATGTAAGCTTAACAGAATGAGAATTAAATTTGAAGGAAAGAATGTTTCTAGTGTTTATGACACCACTTACAATGACTGGTCCACTTTTTTAAAAAAAAAAATAAATAAAAAATAAAGACATCTTTTTTTTTTAACCAATTTCTGTAGATTAGTGTTCATTATACCTTCAAGCCACAGCATTTGTCAGAACTAAAAAGATATTTTATCACTTTAGATGTTGGGGTGGACCTGTTCATAATATGAATACAGTTTCAAATTGATCCCTGATTTCATAGAGAGTTACCTATACTTTGTTTTTATTTACAAATGTCAAATTTAAAATTGTGTTTATACCATTGTTAACTGTGTATTATTATGAACTGGGGAAAAAGACAACATCATTAGTATGACACCAGTAAAGTTCCAGACTTGACATTTGAAAATAAAAACAAAGTCAAGATAACTCATGAAGTCAGGGATTGATTTGACAGTTATATTATGATCAGGAACTCCCCATCCTTTTTTATTATATATATATATATATATATATATATATATATATATATATATAAATAAATAAATAAATGTGGGTGAGAAAAAAGAGCACCATGACACAATTCACCCCACCAGAAATTTAGAAACAGCATGCTGTACTGCTTGGCATTCATGCCAGAAGCTCCAACATTTCAGAGTTCTGGATGTCAATCTGAGGACTGTACAGAGAATTCGGAAAGAGTTGGATCATATATCTAGTCAATATCATAGTGTTTGGAGTGATCACTAGTGATGGTGATGTTATGCCTTCATTCATCTTCCCACAGGACCTCAGACTCAACATAGAGGCCTACATCAAGTGCTTTGAGGATGTAGGGTTGGCCTGGGTGGCTGCTGGAAGACCATGTCTGGCAACAAGACTCTGCACCATGCCGCACAAGCAAGAGAACCCAGTCATGGCTGTCAGACAATTTCTGCGGCCACATCACCTCTTACATATGCCCACCTAACTCCCCAGACTGCAACCATCTTGATTATTGTGTTGGGCACAGTTGAGTGAGAGACAAAAAAAAAAAAAAAAAACTCCTTGTAACACTGAAGATGAATCGAAGGCAAGAATCATGACAGCATTCACTAACTCAAACAAGGGAGAGTTGCAGGAGATTCTTAAGTCATCTGGAGCGTGTGGTTGAAGGCAATGGTGATTTTATTGATTTAAATTACTATTTAGTATTTAAACATTTTATGTAATTTTGGTAAATATATCTGTTAAAATGAGATGTCAGTGTTATTTTCATTTTTGCATAATTTAGACGACAATATATCTATCTCACCATATATATATATATATATATATATATATATATATATATATATAATTATTTCAATTCTGACAAATGTTGTGGTTTCAGGAAAGTCTAAGAAATGCAGATGTACAAAAATTCTCTACCCTAAAGAAAAAAAACAAAAAAAAAACAAATTCCCTTATGAGCGGACCAGTCAATTTAAGTAGTTGACCTGTTTAAGTAGCCTTGAAAAGGCATCATTTCTTGAATCAGTTCCTGTACAATCACCAAAGTTAAGCAACATTGAGCCTGGCTAGTACTTTGATGAGTGACTGCTTGGGAATAACAGTTGCTGTATGTGTGGAGGGTTTAATGAATAATGGCTCACCATTCTAAATCAGAGAGTCAAGTCCCAATTTTAGTTGGGTTAGTTATATTCACTTATCCGCAAATATCCTTGGGAAAGGCAAGAATACACTTCTCCCCTCAGCTATGGGTTAATTAAGACTTGTATCACTAAATCATTAACAAAAAAAAAAAAAAAAATTCTTACAATCTAAAAATATTTTCTGACTTTGAATAACCCACAATGGGTTGATAATCCATAAAGAACAACTAAAAATCATTTCATTACTCAATAACAATATTAGTTATATGGATTTCAAAATTTAGGCATAAATAGGTAGTATCATAAATATTTAATATGATCACATTTTATTCCATAAAATATGCATTCTTTAAAATCAAATTTACATCTTAACCCAGTCATGAACAAACTGTGGCCCATTTGATCTTTCTGAATGTCATACTTAATTTCATAAGCAAAATAACATTTCTTAACATTTTATTTTGTTCTCACTTGTTCACTCACACTATCTCTCATACATAGCCACATACATAAACCATGTAAACTTTTGTGGGGGAGGTAATGATGTCCACATTTAAAACCATTGGCAATTTACACTAAGGAAGATCATACATGTAAACAGCTTTTACTTTTGAAACAGGTTTCATAAGAATTTTTTTTCTCTAAGAAAAAAAATGTTTTAATTTTCAAATAAATAAATCAGAAATAAATCACATGCAGTGACAGGTGTTAATCACACATTATACCAAGATTTCAATTTTTTTCAATTATAAAATATATTTTCTAAGAAAAACAAACTTTCTTCCCATTTCTAAGGGATATGCTTATGCATATGGTCTTCTGTAATGAAAATAGCTGAGGTACCTACTATGAAGCAGGACCCACCTTGTGATGAGATATAGATCATGTGACCCACTGCTCAAAAAAGGTTGCCTATGCCTGCCTTAACCCTTAAGTGGCAGGAAAAAGTTGCATGCCAAATGTGTTAAAAAAAAAAAAAAAAAAAAAAAAAATAGAAAATTCATTTTTTTTCCCCCCAAAAGGATAGGTCTTATACCTTAATTATATATATATATATATATATATATATATATATGGGCTTCTCACATCCTCTAAATATTCTTTCTAGTAATAATGGAAGTTTCTTTGCAAACCTTTTGTTGAAGATTATGTGGAAAGTGAACATTTTGATCATATCATTATACTCCCTTCTAGTTATGCGTGCTATCCCTTTTAGTTGTTGCAGCTGTTGGAAGTCTTCAAGTAATCATACTCCTTAAAGTATTCCATACACAATGTCATACTTTTACTAATAATGGCATGAAAATCTTATAAGCAACATTACATTTTATTCAACTCTGGATTTTGGTATCTTGACTTCAATCACTTTCCCACTGCCATAATGTAGCTTCACTGTGCCTTTTCAGCAAACATGGACGTTCGTAACCACAAAAAAAGAATGTTATTTTTCCCATGACACTGCTATTACTTTAACTGCTTTCACTTTTAGGCAATATTTATCATTTTAACATGTGATGATTAGAGTTGTAATAAAACCTAAATACAGGACAAAAGTGAATCTATACACTTTCTTTGTTACTGAAATTTGACAAAAATAATAAACACTATTATATTGTTTATCAGAATTGTTGGCAAAATATCACCTAATTACCAATTGATTTAAACTATGTAATGGTAAATAAGAATTTACATACAGTTGTTTTAAGTTCTATTCTATGGACAATATTTGTTACCTTGCATAGGGATTGAAATTACATCCTCTTCATTATAAAATTAATGCTTTGTTGAATTAACCAGTCTCCCCAGCTGGTTCAACCCAAGTAGCTAAATTTAAGCAAGTTGTTATTCTCTAGATGGGACAACTGAGTTACTTGGTGAATTCTTGTTAGAGCAATTCAGGAATGAACAGATTTTCTGCTGCCTACATAATATCCCTAGAAGAATTTAACAAGTGAGTTCAAATATTTTAATAATTTAGTAAATGTTTATAAATTTATGACAAAAATTTTTTTTCATATTTATTTCTTTATAAACTGGTAAATGATAAAAATTGCATTATTAGTCTTAATACAATTGTATTAGTTTTTAGAATGTTGTAAATATAAAATTATTCTTGTAAATTTATAACCTAATAAATAGTGTTTAATATTTTTAATCTCCAATGAAATATCAACTGATAATATATTTTAAATGTTTATATACATTGTTTCTTATCTTCACCTATGACCTTCCCAATGCTATCAGTTCTCAATTAAGAATCTATGCTGATAACTACTATTTACTTCTGTTATAAAATAAAATAAGACATCTCGGCTGATTTACAGGGAAATAAACTAACATACTCAAGAGCGAGAGTTGGATGTGAACGGGACAAGGCCCCGTCACAAAATGACCGCTATCTTCGTTTACGCATGTTCCTGACGCACAAGTTCTGGTCAAAAAAATATTTTAAAGTGTTTCTATTTTTCGACCAATAAAAATGCTTCCCTCCTAATTATCCTTGCATCATTTTTCAAGCCTGTTAAGTCATAAAAAAAAAAAAAAAAACGCCATAAAAGGGGTCACATGGAAGTACACCAGGCAGTCAACAGGAGGCCAGGGAAGAGACCTATCACGGTCAGGCTGAGCGGTCAGCAGCAGTAGGCAGGGGGAGCGCCAGCGCCAACCAGTGTGAACTACTATGAGAGATCAACCCAGATTCGAAGCCGGCTTATGAACTTTACCACAAGGTAGCTGTCCCAAACCCACACGTTCCTGTTGAAATAAATCACGTAAATCTATTTCCGCTGTTGTCGTATTTCTTACTTGCAACCATATGCTTGTCTATAACACTTCTGTCTTGATAACAAATCAGGCAGATCTGACTAAGTAAACTGGCAACTGTTTTCGAAAAACACCTCCAATTAATGGTTAACTGCGGCAAGAAGTGGTTTGTAAATTTTAATACCTCCAAAAACAAAAGTGCTTTCATTTAATTGCCACAGAGAACCTTTTCTACCAAACATCAGCATGTCTGATGTTAACCTCCAGGAGAACAACTCCTTGTGCATTCTTGGTCTCATGTTTTCCACTGACATTAAGTAGAGTGATTATATTGAATCGGTTGTTAGGTCTACTATTAGGAAAGTTGGTTTACCGTATTGTGACAGACAATCTTTCTCTTTTGAATCTTACACATTTGTCTGTGCATTGAATATTGCTGCCATATCTGGTCTGGTGCTCCTGCTATATATCTCTAGATTCTTGATAAAAGTCAAAGGGTTTTTAATGTAACCAATCCTGACTAGGCATCTTGACTTCAGTCACTTTCTCATCAATATGACATGGCTTCCCTCTCATTTCTACAAATATTTTCATGGCAATTGTTCCTCCTTAGTACCTCAGTCACATGGATTTAAATGTACTACTAGATTGGCAACTAGGTCTCGTCATTTTATTGTTGAACTACCAAGATGCAACCATAACTTCTATTCTAAGAGTCTTTACTCTTGCACTTCTTGCCTGTGGAACTCCCTTCTGAATTCTTGCTTCCCTGCCACCGACAATCTTCAAAAATTTAAATACAATGTCAATTGTCATCTTCTGTCTTGAGATCATGTTTTTTTTTTTTTATTGTCCTTTCTCTTCATAAAAAAGTCTTCCCATTCTTTCACTTCCAGTAATCTCTTGTGTCTTAGTGGCATTGTCACCTTCCTCGGGATAAAATGATTAAATAAATTTAAGTAATAGACATCTTTCATTGAGACTTTCTAGTGCATATATCTATGAACTTATATTTTTGTACCCAAAACATGGTTTCCTATATAAAGAAAATGGGGAAATGCAAGTTCAATACTAAGATAAGGCTACATTATTGAAATGGAGCATGCACTTAGTACATACAACATATATCTGTGTTAAAGATTTTTAAAGTTGAACTCTTGTAAATCATATACAAGAAGTCTAATTACTTGGTATCACCAAAATAGATGAGTTTTTTTCAAAAATTTCATATTAACAAAAAAAAAAGTCCATAAATGACAGAATTATCTGATATAAACAATATTCTCAGTACTTATTCATTAATGAATGAATTGTATACTGAATAGGTTATTTTTATTAGAAAACCTTGTGGAATTATTTTTTTTTGGGGGGAAAGCCTGTCTCACACACCCTCCTTTACAATATCTTGTGTACTTTTTAATTTGAGGGCTGTTTTCTTGTTACAACTTTAAGAAAAAAATCACTAAAGAAAATAAGAAATTGCTGAATGTTATTTCAGTAAAAAAAACTTTATGCAATATCAAGTGTAAACATACTGAAAATTTACCCCAAACTTTACCAAAAATAATTCAATCAATTTTTTTAAAGTTGTTGCTTGCATAATTTAATAAAGCACATTTTCTTTCAGATTGGACAAGAAAAACTAACACACACAAAAAAAAAAAAAAAAAAAAAAACTTAATATTTATTTTTTAAAAAAAAGGTCTCATAATTTTTCAGTACAATTTTAAAATTAATTTCTTTGCTGTTAATAAGGGACCATTTATTAAATAAAGACAAGTTTGAGGAATTGAAAAATGTAAAATTTAATGCCATTTTCAAGTGTGAATCTTTTTAAAAGAATTTTTTTTCGTTTTATCGACTATTAGATTATTTTTTTGTATGGATGTTCAAAAAGGAAATAATTCTGAATTACTGCCTTTGATTCAATACTCTGGATATAATTCAATAACTTAAATTCAAAATAATTAAAAAAAAAAAAAAAAAAAAAAAAAACACATTGTGTACAATATTTTATGAGATCAGACAGGTAAGGAAATAATTAAAAAGTAAAAGCAATTTATTAACCTCAAAAAAAAAAAAAAAAAAAAAAAAAAAGTATTATTTACTTAAAAAAAACTAATGTAGTAGTATAAAAAATAAAATTATTCATTCTATTAAGTTTCATAAAACTTAAAAGCATATAGGATAACAAATCGGTTATATA